CTCCCCAGCAGCAGTCCGTCTCGATCCCATACCGCTCGCTCGTACATCCAAAACCTTTCGATGGATGGCTGCTGCAGACAGACGTCTATGGGGGCACATGGACCGAGGCAGACGAAAGTGAACAATTCAAGTTTTGGCCGGGGGTTATTCTAGCTGGGGATGGCTTTAGGAGGGTGTTAGGAATGGGATGGGGGAAGTCATTGTACAGTGTAAGCACCGCGACGTTAAAAGTTTGTCAAAAGTAGTCAAATTTTAATATAAAGAAATAAAGAAAGAAATAAAGAAATAAAGTAATATGAAATACTTTCCAGTGTTTGAAATTCCAATTCAAAGTTGATTTTCTCTCTGTAAAATAAAGCAGACTGTGGCAGAAGTCATTGTCCTGCGTCTGCTGGCAGCTGGATGCGTTACGTTATTAAATATTTAGCGACATGCCCGAGCCCCGTAAAGCACCCCACACCGCTGAGGGATCCCAGGAGAGCTTCCCTTAACCCTTTAGCCGAATTAGTCTACCCCCAAAAAGGCGCCATCGAAAACAAAGCTGATCCCTGACTCTTGTTGTTGTTGATTGAATTCGCGTTGCCGTTGGACCAGTTAGCGCCTCTCCTTTCCCTTCGGACGTACCTTTTCCAAAATATTGCACCTGCCCTCGATGTGCAGTTTTGCACCTGCCCCATCATCACCATCATCGTCGTCGCAGGCGGCGGTATGAAAGCATCGCTTCTGAGTGCTCCAGGTTTGGGTTTGTTTATTTGTTTGTCTGTTGTCGAGGTTATTTATTTTGGCATGTATATGATGGCCGGGAAGTCCGGGGTCCAGTTCAATGTCCTTTGTGGTCAACGGAATTAGTCATTCTGTCGGGGATAACAGATAAACACCATATGGGGAGTCCCATGAACTATTACTCCTATTCTGATGATCGAACCGAAGAACAAAGAGCAGCAAATCCCAAACAGAAAGAAAAACCTTAATTAAGCCTACTAGCCCCGGGCTTCTTTCCTCGACAGTTGGGACTTCTGAGTACCAGAATTCATCTGACAAAGAAATCAGCAAATGTCGCGGTGCTCAACAGGAGCTTTTCAGGAGCAACTTTTCGGAAAACGTGTTTATTCAAGGACCAGGCTGTGCGAAGTGGAGGGCAACCCCCAAATTCGCCACCCAAGAAAACCAGAATCCCCTGCCATTGTCTGGAAAGAGACGACGTCGGGCAATTCCAGCAATTTCACTTCAAAAATGTGCAACGTTTAGCGCGCGATTGCCACAAATCAAAGCGACATTACCCAGCCTGCTCCTCCGCTCCTCCGCTCCACCTCGCATCCCTTCCCCTCAGCCAGCTATTTTAGATAAATAAAAAATGCCAAGAAATCCCAGAAGCATTGGAAGCAACATATGCCAGCCAAATCAAGAGCAGACAAAACAAACAAAGACCGAAGAACAGACAGCTGAACAGCCGGAGAGTGAGCCATGGGCCAAGAAGGACGAAGACAAAGGCGCAGACAAGTCCCAGCCGAAAATGCTTCAACCAAAATCCGTAAAAAACTCAGAGAAAAGGAATAGTTAGCGAAGGTTCAGACATGAGCTACTTGGGCTCAAAGGCGATGTAGAGACCGATAACGATAGGAGTGGTCCAATAACGATTTAACGATTTCGATAGGTAATAACGATAGATATATATATTTCTTCAATATCTACAAAATAGCAGCTTTTACTTTCCCAATATCAATACATATAGCTTCTAGAATAAAAGGGTATTTTGTTTTCGTTTGAATGTTTTTAACACTCTAAGCCCCACCATAAGCACCTAGAGTCCTAGATGCAAAGGAGCTGCTGTTTTATTAATGTTTCCAATCTAAGCGCTTGACACGTACGCACTAAACTTAAGTCAAGTTCGGAATAATCACAGGCTGATATGCTGGGCCACTGCTGCTCCATGAGGAGCATAGCTGTTGGAAAAGGGAAAGCCGACTTCTTCGGTGCGTAAAAGTAGACATAGCAGACGACGTTTTCCACTTCCACTCCAAGTGATTTGTGGCACGCAGTGAGGGAGCGGAGACATTTTGCCAGACGACAGCCACGAAATTATTGCCCTTCTGTCCCGGCCACCCCTCTGCAGAAATTTACGCGTCTCTGAACTTTGACCCTCAGACGATGCTTTCGCTGGCTGTGCGACTATGACTGTGACCTTTGTGCACCTCCCCCATTTGCGCCCTTCGCACATCAATTTTTACGACGCCAGTTTGTTGCTGGCTTTGTTTACCATTTTTTTATGCGAAATTAATTTAGAAAACTTTTCCTCGGAACCGGACCATACTCGCTGAAACAGAGAACGTTACGCATTTCACTTTTCTAGGGAAAACGGCAGTGCCACTGATGGGGTTAATAATTGCTTTCGAGGAAGGGTTCATAAAGGTCAAAGCTCACATCTCTTGGGGTTTTTCCAATAGACTTATGTATATTCCCTGGATTAGGTTTTGAATCAACTGTACTTCGGAGGCGCAGTGTAAGTACTTCAAAGTTGTTAATTTTACTCATTAACTCATATGCTCTCCTCCGCCCAGGGACTCTCTACTTGTGGGTTAACAACCTTCTTAGTCATGTCTTCTCTGTGTGATCCACCAGCGAATATCTGGAATTCCCCCATTCGATCGCGCACCACAACAACCTCTCCGTCCAGCCACTCCTCCCGTGGAAATCCCCCACTTAATGTGACCGCATCCTGATCGCAATAAAAAGGTGGCATCTGTTAGATATAAAACCATCAACACGAGACGCGATTCTTCACCTTCTGCGCCCCTTCTTTGGCGCTTCTTCTGGTGGTGCATCGAACTCTGATTCTGACCCCCTCCTTTCAACGTCTCTATTCCCGTTTCACTCGCTCCCCCATCCATGTGCATCGCAAGAGAACAACAATAATTACGCCTCAGCTAGATCAGAGTCCGCGAAGAATTCTTCTGCTTTTTCGCGTTCTTTTTTCGCATATGTTTTGGCTGGCGGCAGAAAGAGATGGCGCTAGAGGGTGGGACAGAGACGGGCAGACTCGGAACGTGGGAAGGCGCACAGGCGCATAAAAAATCCACAAGCCGCAGACAGTGCAAAAACAACAAACAGGAGACTGCAAGAAGGGTTGCTGAATCGGAAGGGGCTGGGAAGAGGCCAGAGGGGCCAGAGAGTGAAGCCAAGAACAGAAGACCCAAGGCAGAGATCCAAAAACAAAAACAGAACCAAATGGAAAATGAAATGGAATCGAATCGAAGCGCAGTTAAATGAAATTCGCTCTCTTCGCTTGTGTGTTTGTTTTTGTGTCTGGGCACCAAACACGCACATAACAATGATGAACGGGGTGAATGGACGCAAGGTGACGTCGCGTCGCAGTCGACGCCATTGCTTCTTCTTCTTCCTTGTGAATGGTGAATTTAAGCGCCAAAATCATTCCCCTTTCCCAAAACACGCTTGCATTTAAAATGAACTCAAGCTTTTGTTTCCTGCAAAATAGTCTACATATTTGTAACAAATTCAAGTTTAAGGCATTTAGATTAAGTTTTACTTTACAGGTTTATCGTTTTGATTATACTGTAATACTTAGGCATTAGATATAGAAAGATAGAGATAGAAATAACTTAAATTTTCCTTTCATTTTATGCATTTGCCTAATGGAATTCAAAACCTAAGCCTTTCCCACTTTTACGCGCCAAAAAGCACTCTCCTCATGATTTCATTTTCGAACGTTGACCAACTACACACACTATATACCATGTACCATAATCAAGGGAGAGCGAAATAAAGATAACCCCAAAAAACCACTTGGCAATGGATGATGCGCCACAATGGGCGTGGCACTTGGCGAAGAGTTGGGGAGCTGGCACCGAGAGTCAAGTTGAGTTGAGGAGCACAAACAAAAACAAAAACAGGAGCAGAGAAACCAACCAGAGAAGTTTTGGTTTTGGTTCCATTCAGTTCATTTCGTTTCGTTTCACTCTGCTGGCGTCTCACTTGCGCCCCCATTTGGGTATGTGTCTTTGGCCGTTTTGCTTTGATCTCCTTATTCTGTCTGGGGGCACATTCGTTTTGTTTTTGCGCTCGTTGCCATTGCACTGCACTTCGCCCGCAATTCGCTGTTTCTCCCGCCCTGGCCCATTCCTTTGAGTTCCTTACACAGGCAAAAAATATTTTGGCGTTTTAGTTAGTATTAATAAAAGTACAGTGGGGGGACATTGGATAGAATGGACTTAACGAATATAAAAACTCTTTCAGTTTGTATATGTAAAGAGATATTTCCGATTTTTTACTGTGTAATACTACTTGGGTTCCCTTTTCTCTACCCATTGCCTCTGTTCCCTGACCCTTTCCCCCACGTTCCGTGCTTCATGTAATGGCCCATCGTTCTCGTCATTCCCATTGTCGTTTGTTGGCTTTGTTTACAAGCATTTGATGGACCACTAACACCGCATTTTCTGAGGCAAGCTCATGGATACACAAGCGCACACAGATGCTCGCACAGGAACCCAGAATGCGCGGGATTTTCGTTGGGTTTTTCTCTTTTTGCTTTTTGCCATGGTGCGAATTATGAGGGAGCCCCCGGGTGGCAAAGGGAAAAACAAATGGCGAGAAAATTGTAATTCTCTTTGCTGGCTGTCATTCACCCAATCCCACTCCTATCCTCGGCCATTTCCATTACCATTGAGTTGGTTTCTTTATTTTTTTATTAGTTGTACTTTATTGAATTCGCCGATTGAATGAATTGCTCAATGAGCTGCCCGCCGAAGACGTGCGGATGATGAGCAGCAAATTGATGGGGGATTGCCACGCTTTTCCCTGCCATTTCCACTGCGCACCCCAACCTTCCCTTCTTCTTCCCTTTCGAGTGGAAATTGCGGTGGAAATGGGGCTTGAGTGGTGTCCGGAGTGTGATGAAGCGAATAGCAAAATGATGACATTTAGTTGGTGTCAAGTTTTTTGGGGTTAGGAGGTACTGCCTTAACTAATATCGAACAACCAAGAGCTTCCTTAGAAATCCACTTTATTCAGTACCACAACGAAACCCCTTTTATATTATCCAACAAAATCAGGACTAGGGGCAGCAGTAACCGCCATCGGAGTCGGAATCCGATTCAGAAGTTGAGAAGCAGCACGCCTGGCACGATTCATCACCCGAAGAGGCGGGACAACCACTTGAAAAAGATGGCTGAAGCCCTGTAAAGAAGGAAGTCTCGTCTTCTGTGACCTCCATTTCAAGACCTCGGTACCGCCTACGGGATCCGAAATTCTGTAGTTGTATGGCTCTGTTAATCAGGGTCTTTAGATGGATGTCCTGCTGCTCCTGACAGGCTCTCAGTTGCTTGTATTCCTGCTTGTCCTTGAAGGTCTTGCACTTCTTGTTCATTAATCGAGTAGCCATCTCTTTCAGGTCTCTTATGACCAGGTTCTGGGCATCGATGTCCTTGATCACCTCCAAATATTCCTTGTACATCGCCTTCTGCTCTTCGTCCTCTGGCTCGCTTTCGTTGAGCAGCTCGAAAGGATCCTCTTCGTTCTCAGACTCTGCCTCCTCTTCTCCCACCTCCTCGTCACTTTCACCCTCTACTTCGAGATCTTCCTCGCCTTCTTGTCCTTCAATTTGCCCATCTTCTGGAGGGGCTTCCTCCTCCTCGACATCCGCCATTTCGTTAGTTTCGAAGGGTTGGTGATATTTTTATGACTTATGGATATGAAACTACATAGTCGTACAAAATTTAGATGAAATAATTTTGACTTAAGGGAATAAGGTATTCTAAACTAACTCGATTCCTATGCCATCTCAACCTGTCTTTCTACGGTTAGTAAAAACTCTTCAACCACCTTTTATTCCTCTAGCACGCCATTTTCCCTGGCCCTTAATGCACGCATTTCCGTTTCCCCCATCGTCCCGTCGCTTCACATACTCTTTTTTGTTCTTCTGCCATCATGAATTTTATGTTTTATTGCAGCTGTTGCGCTGTCAACGCCCCTCCCCCAACCCTGCGCTCCACACTGATTCACGCTTTTATTGGCACAGTGATTTCTGGTGGCTGAATCCGGCGGATTACGCTCCAAGGCACACCACTCCCCACTTGCCCGCTCCTTCGCCGGCGCATTAATCATAAAAATACTATGCCCCGACTGCAGAATGCAGTTTAATTTGGCATGAAGTGCAGTTCGCGGCAGGGTCGCCTCATCGTTGGCTCTATCGGTAGTTAAGCGGTTTATAACCGATAACAACCTGTAAGCCAGTAAAGCCAGGGCGCCCATTTGATGACTGGACCCAGCGACACAAGTTCCCTGCATTTATGGCGTCATATTTTTATGGCTGCATCCATCCTGATACCATCGAACTGGTGCACGGAATGGCAAATGGCTAGATAGATCTGCATAAAATGTAACCGGAATAGGGCCACCAAGACGGTGCTTTTGCTACGATGCCAAGGAATAACAATGTATTGCCATGAAATGGAAATGAAAGTGTGAGCAAGCATGAAATTATTACGTTTTTATACGTAGAATTGTAATTACGAGCTTAATGCTCATGCAAGTCCCCTGATATGTACATATGAAAGTTCGGCATTAGGATTCGGCTCTAGGAAACATATACATAAATATAACTCAACTTAGAAGTCTGCTTGTGTTTGGCTGGTTAACCTTCAGTTTCTGGTTTATTTTTGGCAAAATCCTCGCAGCTTTTTGCTCTCGCGTCCCTGTAAATGACAGTTGGATTAGCCACCAGCAATCACACACACGATTCCCGACCCTCGTTATCCTGGCCAAGGTCAACGTCAACGGAACTCGGCCTTGTCATAGTTGAATGCTCTTCGATACGGTTCAACTCACATTACGCATACGACGTGTTGGCCCTTAAAAACCACGCCGCTCGTTGCAAATTAAGCAAGGGGACACAAATTTATTTACAAAGCCCTGACAAAGCATAGGCCGCGGCTATGCTGGAACACACATCCTTATTTATTTCTCCGGGATTTTCTTTTTAGACCGGATCTCTTTCAGGCTGTGTGCAAGTTGCAAGTTGCATCAAGTATTTTTTTCGCTCAAACTTTTGTTTTCTTTTGTCTTGCATCCCTTTTTTGTGCTATTGTTGCAGCGAGCCGGGTTTTTTGTTTATGCCTCTACTGCATAAAATGATTTCATTAAAAAAGTTGTAAACTTTTTCATTTAATTTAACTGCAGCAAACAACATCTTTTGTGCAGCCCTTCTTCTTGTGAGCTGAGAAAGGGCCTTCCCTGCCGCCGCCTTCCCACTGCAGCTATCTTTTCAGTTAGCATTTGCTGCCACGATTCGGGCCCAGACTTAATCCCCTTCAGCCGCGGAAAGCCCTGCTTTTTTTTCGGATGGGTTTCAATTAAACTTTTCCATTTCAATTCATTGTGAATTTTTCAATCTGCCCATCCGGCAGCTTGTGGCCAATACAAGACTTGCATTGGGACCAGGGGACTCTCCTAATTGCAACTATATTCTGTACTCTATCTTTGTTGGTTTACCTGTGCTATCTCTTAATCTATAAACTAACTCTGCTTTAAGTACGCTTTTTATGCTTTAATGTGATGACTCTGGCGGAGCCTGACTGCCTTTTACGTTATTCTTTTTAAATACACGACATTCACAGAACATAATTCAATTAGGGCATAATAGAAAGTTCATCATGGGGCTGGGACCACCCCCGTACGGGCAGCCCTTCATCATGTGGCACGACAACATGTCGTATTAGTAATATTTAAACACAAAAGCTCAGCAAATGTTGACATGCGTTGCCATTAGACGGACGTAGCGATGCATTCTGACACGCACAAGGGATGACTGCGAGTGGTGAGTAGGAGAGAGTAGGAGAGAGTGGGCGGGGCAGACCTAAAAGGAAATTCAATTTTCACACAAAGAAGAGGTTAGGGCACGAAAAAACAAAGACGTACGAACGCCAATAATAACAACAATAATAAGCTGCTTAGGAGCTGGCGATGCGAAAGTGAAGAAATGCGTTGTAATTCCACATGATGAGCTGGGGGTTGCCCATACCCCCGGGGAGGCTCATTTTTCGCTAGAGGGGGTGGCATTAAGCCACTGTGTAGCTTGTCGTGTCAAGGAATGCGGTTGCATGTGCCACGAGCAAGACTGTTCCCCTTCAGAGGCGACGCTCTCCCGCTAAAATACATCTTCACTCAGAAAAACTGAGAAACCCAGAAATCCAAAAATTAAATCTAAATTTAAGATTAAATTTGTTAACCAATTTAAAATTCCATCAAGGACAAACATTTTTAACAAAATTGATAAACATTTTTTCTTAAAATATTTTTCAAAGTGCAACGGAATGGGCGTGTGTCCATGTGTGTTGTGTATCTTTCTATGAAATGTGTCATGTTGACAGCGTGGAAATGTCACTCATGCGGCATCGTAATGAGTTTTGCCAACGTCAGCGACGCTGCAACAAATTCAGCAACAACAACAACAACAACTGAAATCCTCAGCAAGTTGTTACTTGGGGGACCAAGAGAAAGAGCCGAGGAAACTCCTCCGTTACATTGTTTACCCAAAAGGCAAAACAAAATCATTGCAATATTGAAAAAGTTTCCTTGTCAGGACGTGGGATTGATGTTAAAGAAGCCAAGGGAAGAAAACATTGAATTAAATATATACTTTACCTAATTCGAATGTTATTTACTATATTACCTAACTATATTTTGATAATTTCTATATCTTCAAAGATAAAATTCCTTGGCAAGCCTGGCATCCATGGGAGAGACCAAGCCAAAAGTCCCATCAGGGCATCAGAGAATTAATTCACTGTTGGCCATCAAAAAGTGTTTTGTACGAGTGGGGGTGGGCCTCGCGCCCACCTAAACAATGAGCCTAACCAGCCCCACCGCCCACACACACACAGGTTACGTTATACATACATACATTTATAGGCCGTATAAACGGACGTAGAACGTAACCGGAGACGTAGACGTAAGCGTACGCCGAAAGCGAGAGGAAAGTAGAGAAAGGAGGAGAAAGCAGAGCAGCCGTCGTCGTAGAACTTTCATTGTAGTAGAATTTCACAATAATTGCAATGCAGTTGCACACAGCCAAATACAAATATAAATATAAATATATATACTAAATATAGTAAGGCTGTAGTATGCTCTATATACTTTTCCCTTTTTCGGTCAGAGCAGGCAGATATATGGAGAGCGAGAGGGAGAGGGAGAGAAGCGAGCAGCGAGAGTGGAAGAGAATGCAGCGAGGAAAATATCGATCGATTTTTAAATGAATTTAGGTCACAGCGACCCCAATCCCCCACCCTTTCCCTGGGGCAACTGCAGTCGCCCCCCGAGGAGCGTGGTGTGTGTGTCTGTGAGTTGCGGGAGTGAGGAGGGGGGTTTGCATTTCGTAGATACAACCGAAATGAAAATGTCAAAAGCCTTCTGCTCACGTAACTTATTTTAATTCAAATCAAACAGAGAAAATAGATTGAAAGGCGGCCCTGCCTTTTCGGCAATATCTGGGGAGTAGTAAGGAAGCAGTTCGGGGACTTGCGGCAGGAACGAGCTTGCCTCTTTTGATATCCCTGAACTTGGAGGGAGAGTTGTGCATTTGGAGGGTACACAGAGGAAAACTATTGCACATAAAATGGATTAGCTATCTTTAATTAATAATCATGTAAGATATAGAAAGGCATACAAGCATTAACAATACTCATCATTGATTACTTTTTAGTTCCATCGAATTCCCCTTAGAAGGTACTCCGAGTTTTGGATTTCATCTTTCGTAGAGCTCTTCCTGAAATGCCGTTCAGCACCGCTGCCCCCTGGATTGCCCATGCCAGACACGCGCCACATGTGCATTTTACGAGCCAAGAAGATGGATGACGGAGAGGGGGCTCAGGAGCAAGGGTGACACATTGTTGATGTCTTGGGAAAAACCTGATGTATATTGCTTCCCCCGCTGAATGATGATTCCACCCAAGCCCAACCAGCGTTGCAACTAATTTTACGTTTTTATGACACTCCCGCTACGTGATGCGACGGACCCTGGGAACATGGGTTAAATCATAGACAGTCGCCGCGACTGAATTCAAACACGTGTGGCCAATAAAAAACTGAATACGACTACGGGATCGGACTTAGTTTTTGTTACTCTGCCATGTACTGGTGTTAAGTAAGTGAAAGAAGTTGAAATAACTTTGGATTGTGGAGAGTGGGAAACTGGTCTCTTTGTTCTTCAGTCAACAAAGTCCGCTCTACCTTTCCTTTGAGTTTCCGCCCCTCCCTTGCGGTTTTGACCAGGAAAGAACACACTTTATTTTGTCCTCAAGGGAAACGCCTTTATTTGGTGTTTTTAGGGACACTAAAACCCGGGAAATGTTATGGGAAGGCTGGCACCTGCCGGAGCATTCAAACAAATCCTTTGCTTATAACTTTTTAATTATAAATTTCCGTATTGATTTTCCAGCGGGAAATGACTAGCCAGCTGACGTCCCATTCCCATTCCCAGCCCAATTGATTCGCATTCTAATTATGCAATATCCTCGAGGAACCCGTAAACTGCACCTGTCACACCTTGGGGCACCACCTCCGCTGCAGTCGCAAACTGGGTTAACGATAAATTTCAAATGGTGTCAGGTCCTAGTTAGGGACCTTGCCCCGCCTTCTGTTCCCTGTCCTCTGACACATCGGAGGCCAGATGGGTGCAAGTGCCCCGCCGTGCTCTAGATTCGCTCGTCACTCGTCGCTCGGCGCTCGTTTCTCGGTGCTCTTGGCCAGCCATGATCTACTACCACACTTGCAGTTTCCACTGCAGCTTGGCCTCCCTTCCAAGCTGCTTTAGAATGCAGTGGGACAAATTTTAGGAGAGGAATAGATTGATATAATTTCAGAAATACACTTTTCTAATTAAAATGTGTCTTTTTCGTCACAAAAGATGGATTTCTTAAGAAAGTTAAGGAGCTAAAGCCTAGTTTCAAACTCCTAATAATAAGGGTTAATGAGTTTTTAAAGATTTCAGTTAAAAGTTATTTAAGGTGTAGGGGTAATTCCACAGTTAAAAACGTAACTACGTAGTACGCTGCATATTGCGAGCGTGCCTATGAGCCAGTTCCTCTCCGTCTCCCTCGGTCCTGCCCTCCTCAAGAGCATTCGGCTGGGGCAAGCCTAACTAACCTCCAACGCCTGGCCAGACCAAACAGACCGCCCTGACGCCCTACTTTCCGATAACTGGCAAGGTTCGGCCTTGATGTTCAGCAGTGACCCGCTTTTGCCTCCGTCGCTCTCGGGTTTGTTTTTGATTCCTTCAAAATGCTCCATTTGTCAGACGTTTTGAAGGCCTGGCAGGAGTCAAGGAGAAGTCGTTCTTGGCCAAATGATAGCTTCCCAGAAATTCGGGTCAGCCGCTCTTCTCGCCGAGAAATATGACGAAACTCGAAATAAATCGAAATGAATTCCAATTTGCGGTGCACCACGACTTGATTTCTCAGTGTGTTTGATTTGTGGTTGGTTCGGGGTCAGAGTGAAATGTCATTTCGACTGGAACAAAGAAAACCGCCGGGCTAATCCTTCTATTCAGTGAATCAGTCCCCCGGTCGCTGATTCATTGGGGAAACAAAAGAGAACTCCCAGCTAGAATAATAAAATTAATTTCAGCTCTTCCCGCAGACGAACTTTGCTGCTCGGAAGGCAACCTTTTCCCCCGCCCCTTGAGTGTGCATTTAAATCTGGTGGATGTTGCGGCAGGTCGCCAATATTAAAACTCAGTCGAAGTGCCAGACGATGACTTTAAACTAGCTATGGTTAATGGCTAATGGATCGGCTTTTAAGGTTTAGTGTTAAGAAAGCTTTAATAATAGGAAAAAGGAAGAAAATCTATTAAATAAGCATTCTTACTCTCCACCAGCTTAAGTTCTTTCAAGAAGTCTATAAACTAACCAAATAGTTGTCCAGTCACATTTCCCCTTTGTTCGGTTTAATATTCAATCTGGTTTACCTCAATAAAAGTATCTACACATCATCGTATTTGTCCTCTGAGTGCCATTCTTTTCCACACAATTACTTCGGTTTCGAACGTCTCTCTTACTCAGTAAATCACAAGTTTGATTATCTCATTTCTTGGCTATCTCACTGAGAAACCCCGCTCACCCCGCTGGCAGTAATGTCCTCGACTGCAGGGAATGCATTTTGGCATTGACTGCCCGACGACAGCCCACAGAGCGTATGAGTAATACCCAAAGACAGCGAGGCAGTAACAAAGTTCAAGGCATTTTTTGCGGGGTGTGGGGGGTGGTGGTGGTGGTGGGCAGGATAGGGCAGCAGATTGGAGCTGTCATGAAGTAAATGTAACGTCGCCAAACGCCAAACGCCAAACGCCAACGCCATCGACCATTTACCATCTTCATCATCATCATCGTTCTCATCATCATCTTTATCATAACGTCTAGTTTGGCTGCTCTTGTCTTCTGTCGACTGCGCTGTTGAGCTACCCTGTAATCTTGGCATTGTGGGTATACGTATTTTCCCAAAATTTTTGCAAACAGAAATCTCAATTAACTCAGGCTTATAGTAAGGATTATAAACTTCTTGAAAAATGAGATATCACTACAGGATATCTTCAAAGTCCTGACCTTTTGCTTTCCTTCATTGCTCACTTCCTTTCTTTGTTTTATTTTTTAAGAAAACACAAACATAACGAGGGGAGTATGCGGAAGGGGGTTAGCGAACACGCAAAGTAAATAGTAACATGTGCATTACTTGGCATTCATCTCGGGGCTGGGCACACCCAACCCTAGTACCAACCCATCCCTCCCGCTTCCCCTTCATCTGTTCCACATTTAACGAGAATAATTGCAGCGACAGTTTGGCGCTACTGCACTTACCCCGGCAGTAGAAGTCAGGCAGTAACATTACCCCCTCCCCGGCGATGGAAAAAGTCTTTGAATGTCTTTGATGAAATATTGAAATTGTTGGATGTTGGATGCTGATGCTGATGCTGATGCTGATGTCGGGTAACTGAGATGGTCGGAATACTTTGGGGTCCGGCCAACATTGAATCTGAACTGGGAGTGGGGGATGGGATTCGGTCACGTGGTGTCCAGTGGATGGTCATGGTCAGAACTTTTAGCCCGGAGCTTGTTGGCTTGTTTCGGCGTCAAGTGGATCGTTATAAATTGCTCAATTTTAGGAGAGCAAAGAAAATGCATTTTTAGTGTAAATAAATAATGGCTCAAAACGAGTAAAGGATTTGCAGTGGCTAGCCACGGCTGGGCTTGTCCTCTACACTTTACATTAACTTGTGATATATTGGCAATGACGGCTAAACAGGAACTGGGCTTGAAATGCTGCCAATGGCCAATTCGAGCAGTCACCTAATTGAAGGCTGGCCCGAAAACTACAGAGTATATCTAGCAGTTACTTTCCTATATTTATGGAACAGCTAAGTAGGTTGTGTAAAAAGGTGAAACTAAAAAAAGATACATTAAAATGAAAATGAGTTCCGCTGATTTGGACTTAATCCATGACTGATTTCTTCTGGGAAACACGTTCAAGATTGAGTGAGCTCCGAGATAACTTTTAGTTACTTATCCAAAAATTCGCGGAAGAGAGACTGGCGGAAATTCCCACTGATTCGATGAAAGCTAATCTGGCACACGAACCCAAGGGATTTCCCCGCACAATTACACACGTTGAAATATTTAAGCTTATCAGTCACATATGAGATTAGACCAAATAGCCATTTTATAAGGGGAGTTTCCCCAGAAACTCGTTTAGTAATATCAAACTTTAGTTGGCGTTTTTGGTGTTTTCCCCAGCTTGATGCATTTCGAATATAAGTTATCGTTGAAGTTGTTTGTTAAGATTTGATGACTCTTTTTGAATTTTACTCATATATTTTCCACTTTTTATGGTCGTTTTTCACCAGCATTAAGGAAATGCCTATCATTTCGATAACGATTAATGATTTAAATGCACATTTTATTAAAAAGTGTATCCTATGTCTCTCTGCAGAGCCTAGTTATTGTTGGTGTTGCCGTTTCTGGTTTCCATTTCTCATCGTTTTCTTTTTCTGTTTTTGACGAATGCTGTTTTTGTTTATTTACTCTTTTTATTATTATTATTTTGTTGTGCAACAACGCCGAAGTCCAAAGTCCATAAAGCTTCATGTTGTCGGTTTGCTTTTGTTGTTTTGGTTTCAGTTTTTTACTGAAAGTGCCAGAGCCACAAGCCAAGGTGAAGCTCTTCTTTTAGCCCCGCTTCAGCGGCGGTGCGGAGGGTTTTGCACACAAGACAAACCCCGCAAAACGTGCAAGAATAACAGCAGCAGCAAAAACAACACCAATAATAATTCGTTAAAAACAGACAAAACAAAACAAAAACAAGAAAATATGCTGAAAATAAAATGCGAAAAATAAGTTAAGAGAAACGGACGTTCATATGGCCAAAGCTCTTGAGCTCTTTAGGTATTCTCGCTGCTGTTGTTGTTGTTGTTGTTGTTGTCTTTTATCGCCTCCTCCTCCTTCTCTTCTTCTTGTTCCTCTTCTTCTTCAACTGCAAGTTCGGAGCTTCTGGAATGTTTTCAGATGTGCAAATTTTAAGCGTCCGTTTCCCATTCCCATTTAAGCTGTCCCTTTCCACCATAAAAAAACCGTTACAACCAGGGATGCAGCGTGTTTACTTTTTGAATCGCTTTAAACTATTTCATTCGTTAATAATGATAGAAAACCTAAAGAAAAAAATAGTATAGTAAAAATTCATTTTGTTTCCATCTCTAGACTTTTGCGAAAATGTCTTTATTCCACGTTTTTGTTACCCGCCAGACTCTTCCATCCCTGAAACCTTCAACTCTTGTGCCTCAGCATTTTTGAATTAATTGTTTGTAGCACTTTCGTGCTCCCACCGACACCTTCGCCCTCTACTGCCAAAAACAATTTAGCCAAATAGAAGGACTGAGTCAGATACTCTTGGTTTTCTAGTGGAACTAAGAGGGTTTTAGGCTCTTCAGAGTTTTTCCGGAGGTTCATTGATTTTGCACTACTGCGGAACAGCCTGTGACTTCCGTTCTCATAAATAATATGTAGGAATCACGAATCACACCCACCATTTAAGTTAACCTGCGATGACGTTCC